GATTTATTATTTTTGTTCTAGGGTGGCCACCTTATTAAAATGCAGTAAATAAAATTATATATTATGGAGTCATTTATTTCCAGCCTTTTCTAAGTTCACAGTTTATTATATTTTTCCTTTCACTTACAATACACAGAAAGAGAAGAAACATTTCTTATAATTGGAAAATTAGAAAATCAGCCTGAAAATTAATACATCAGTCTGAAATCTGCAGCAGAAGGCCAGCTAGATACATGTCCAAGAAAGGACAGGCACAAGATGAGAGATAATATAGGACAGCTTTAGACTTACAACCTTTCATAGACAAAGAGCTCTGGTGTTCTGTGTTTGAGCTGTTCAGCACCTCACCGAAAAGGGACCTGGAGTTTCTACTACTTTAATATAAATAGTTGCAGTTACACTGATAACTCACCTTTCTTACAGAATTTGTGTTTTGGTCAGCACTAGGAGACAATAGATTTCTTTTTTCCCTACCTCTCCAAATTACCTAGTGTAACAGAATTCTCCATAAGAATAGCAACGAATGGGTTCTTGTGATAGATCATTGCATAGATGACAAACACTAAAACAGGAATTAGAAGTCTCTGATAACTAAACAGAATAATCATCTGTATTTCTTTATGTCTTCCAATTAATCACATGACCTGATGAGAAGTGGGGACCAAAATGCAGACACTCCCAGTCACACATCCCTGTGGCTGTGGTCATGCAGCCAAATGTGCCCCAGATCATGGGAGGGGCACTGGCACAGATGCTGAAAGCTGGGGATCCACCCTACCCAGAGATTCTCTGCCCTTCAGTTAAAGCAGGTTCCAGTCTGAAATGAAACAGAATCATAGTATTTGGAGAGAGAAAACTAAGTAGCATAACTAACTAGGTGATGGTACTTACCAGCTTGTGACTGAGACAGGGTGAAAACAACCTTGAAATAATCAGAGAAATGATCAAAATCATCTCCACTACAAGCGGCAGGCCTTTACAACAGCATGGGACCTGCAAGAAGAAGAAAAAGCTATCATCTTTCAGCTGTTAGTTATTTGTTTCTAAAACTACAAAATCTTGCTGCTTGTTTTTTCTACTAAGGGGTGAGGGGTCTCAAGTTTAACACAGAACAGCTGCCACACTGTAAGAGCATTCATAGTTTGATTCACAGCAACTTATTAATGAATTCATAGTTTTGGCTTACAAAACAACGGGTTAGAAATATTCCATCCTCTCAGTCTTGAAGTGACTGCAATTTTCAGCTCTGAACCGCAACATCTGGACTAGTTCTATACAAAGTCTTTTGTTCTAAATTTTTTGTTCTAATTTCCTAGAAAGGCTTGTAACAGCCAGAAGTAATATAAAATGTTTCTGCAGTTCTACATAAAATATGTACCTTGCCTCAGTAAATTTATCTTACAAGGAATAAATCAAACTGTCTATGTATGAGTTAACAATAAGATATGGTAAACTTGGAGGCAAATGTTCTTCACTGCATAAAATACAGACTACACAATTTAAAAAACTGCTAAAATTTCAGCATAATTCCTCTACTCCCTTTTTAGTCAGGATACTTGTACCAGGGCTTAAGTGTAAGGAAGTAATTTCACTGTAATCTGGTTGAGAGAAAACCTAACCTTGTTACAACAGGCGACAACACCCATGAAATACGTAACACTGGTACAGAATAGTCTTCTGAAAGCCAGGATATGGCCATAGCTGATAAGATCATGGAACCAATAATTACATTTGGAGACAGGGTTTCTGACTGTTCAGATAAAAAAAACCAAACAACACAACAAAACCCAAAACGTTAGTATTAATCTGTGAGGACATGAGCTGTACTTGTTCAAACTGGGGAAAGATTCAAGGCAGAGGTCTGCCAGAGAAAGAAAACTTATGGGCCATACGCTAAGCTAAATATAAACTCACATAACTCCTCTGAAACCTCCTCCTCAAGCAGACATAAGCCACAGCTGAGTCTCACCAGTGCATTAATGGCATTCTTGTCTGCCACTTTCATATGAAGTCAACAGCACTCCCATACCAGCTAAATTAGGCAGTTACCCTAATGACACTTAACTTCACAATCACTATTGTATTTTCATTTCAGGTCTGTGGTTATGTCTGTTAACTCATTGCTGTTGGGAAACATAGCAAATGACTACAGCAGCCTCAGCTCTGTGGCCAGCAGGTACTTGTACACATCATAGGAAACCAAGCATTGCACTACTTAAGCATGAATTTTTCAATAGCAGCATTGCCATGACCATAGAAACATTGCAAGTAAATTCTGTTGTCATTTCTAGGTGATTCTTTTGTAAGTCAAACAACACAAGTTATAATATGGCTTCTGTCACTACTGCCACTTCTGAGGGACAGAGCTGGGATGGTGAGGGGAAGTACTTCAGTACCAGCCTTTAAGCTATCGGCTTACTCTGGTTAAAACACGAATTAATGCTAATAAGTTGGCCTTTCTACCCACTTTTACTGTAAGAAAATGTTTGCTGCTGACAATGGCAAAAGTAGCATCTGTCACTGCATTCCATAGAGCAGAGAGACAGAAAAGAGATACTCAGGAGCCAGATTTTAGGACTACTTCTTTGGACATTTGACTACCTAACTCTTTGTTCTACTGATGGGAATTTTAATACCAGTAACCTTCCACAAAATAAAAATAACAGCAAAAAGCATTAAGGGCACTCTGATATATAGGAGTCTTCTTGAAATCCCACCCATTTTTACTACCATGCTGGAACAATGTGACAAAACAGTAGCCAAAGACAGGCCTTTCTTCTGCTCTGCCATGCTATGTTCAGCATTAAGAACAGTCCAGCATTAAGAAACAGACTGTGATTTCTCAATTTCAGATTAAGATAACTGCTTCTGTCGCAATACTGAAATCCTAAGCAGTTTTAAAACCTTGCAACTTCCTGCATGTTGAAGCTGGAGTAACGTTTTTACCTCTGTATTTTCTAGATCAGCTGGTGAAGAACTTGACATTGTGCCAGATAGGGGAAAACAACACTGGATAGCCCCCACTACCATAAGTATCAAGGGCACCACTCCACACAGCTCTTTTTCTCTTCAGGCCAATGCTTATTTAAAATCCATCTCTCCCCTGTACTCCCCTTCTTCACTGTTGCTGGTAAAGGCAGGGGAAAAAAAACCCAAACTGCTTATCTTTCAAATACCCAGCAGCAAATTCATCTATCCTGCAGCCTTGCAAACACCTGGTCAAATACAGAACACAGAACAGTATGGCAGAGAAGCATGAGGTACACTATAACCCTGAAGTAAGCTGCAAAAGGTGAGGATGGTCATGACCCCAGAAGGCCAACTAAGTTACTTATGGCCAAACACCACCCAGAGCACTAGTGGTTTTCTTTCCTGCCTTGTCCTGCCTCCTGACAACGTGCAGGTGAGGACGCTGGGTCACAGCCACATAGGCAAAGCTCCATCTCCCTGCCTACAGTGAGTCATACTAGTGCAGCCTCCGATGTGTCAAAAGGCCTGGTCCCAGCTGGCTCTCCTAGTGTAATAGTGGCCTACTGATAAAAGGCAGAGCTGCAAGCTTACAGGTTCTTTTTGAACATATTTGTGGCATGTTTTAAACTGAATTTTATGTATCATTCTCTGTTGGTTTCAACTGTTGCCTAAGTTTTTTTCCGTAAGTTTTGTGATTATTGACATGCACATATGAACTTATATTTAAGAAATTCCAGTGCTTCCAGCTCCCCAAAATGATAGTCTACAAACTAGTAAAGAATACTTACAACAAAACTCTGTTTTTTAAGTGAAAGATAGTGTACAAAATTATTTTATAGCATTGAAAAGTACCTCAAGAGAGGGAAAGCTCCAAGCAGCATCAGCCCTATTACTTTAATAGCTTTCTATTACCACAGATTTCATTAGGCAGTTTACATTCCCATTTTTCTTTCACATACATCACCCAAAAGCTACAATTTCAACTACCACTTTGTACTCCAATTTTCATTATAATTAAGCATTCAAAACTTCACAACAGTTTTGAGTATCTTGCCTAGACTGTGCAAATCTCTCAATAAATAATTTTTTCCTCTCATTTGTATATATGATTGCAGCAGATTCTTAAGGTGAACTGGTAGCTACTTATTCTGTAAACCAGAGTAACAGAAATACAGTGCACATGATAAAAGTTTTTCATGAATTTATGTGTCAATATATTTTTGTTTAAATACCAGTAGAACAGGCTCACAGTACTGAAACATGTTAACAGGTTTTACAACTGACATCTATGTTTATTCCAGAAATAGTTATTTTTATAGGAACTGTAGTGTATTTGCTATTACAGCTAGTGTTTAGCTACCCAATAAACTTCTGAATAATCACTGAGGAATTTCAATGCTGAACAGAAGTCCAGAACACACATAAGATCTTAGTCCAAAAACACCAGTACTGCACTTTGAAACAAAGTGGCACTGGAAATCCACAAATCAAACCCAAAGCTGACACCAAGCATAAACAAATGCACAGGTTGGAAACAGCTTCCTAAATTGTTTAATCTGCATAAAGGTCAAGATACCTTTCTTCTCCTACCCCCCCACCCCTTTATTTTCTCCTCCTTTAAGGCGAAAGGGAAACCAAATCTGAACTCAGTAAGGCTGAAATGAGTAGCAAAGAAGGACCAGTCCTGGAAAAGGATGCCTGAAAGAATGAGGAGAAGCCTGTGTGCGTGAGGCGGGGGCTGTTTGTAGACAGCACCGGGCCCCAGCCTGGGCCCTCCGCGGCAACTACAGGCCGCGGCTCCCCTCAGGACCAACGGCCAGTAATCGGAACGCGCGTTATAGAGCGGCCTGGAGCAACACAGAGCCAAGGCTCGGGCAGACTAAAGAGCGCGTGCGGGATGCACGCCCGGGGCCGAAGCGAGACGCCCCGCGAGCGGCCCAGGTGCGCGCCCGCGTCCCCACCTCCTCCGTGACGCCAGAGGCGCGCGGCCGGGACCCGCCCCCCCGGCGACCGCCACGTACCTTCCCGACGCAAGCGGTGCTGGCGGCGGTGCGGCTTGTCGCGCAATCTCGCCTCGGCGTCCGGTGTTATCCAATCAGAGCTCTCCGCGACGCCCGGACGGGGGTCTGGCCCGGCCAATCAACACGTAAAGCAGGGCGGGACCTGTCTCTATGGCAACAGGAGCAGGGGCCGCCGGAGCGCCGCGGGGCTGTCGCACCGTACGGTATCGCGCCGAACCGTACCGTACCGTACCGTGCCGTGCCGCGCCACCGAGCCCCTCAGATCCCCAGGGGCACGCTACGGGAACGCCTCTTTTCATCCCCGCACACAGGAAACGCCTCGCCCTTAAGAAACAACGGCTCCTCTCCCCCCCCGCAGGGGATTTTAAGGTAGATTCACCCGTCCCGAGGCGGGGGTACCCCTAGCCGTTGGCGGAGGCGGGCGGTGAGAGGCGCCCCGCCGGCGCGGAGTGGGGCGGAGGCCTCGCGGGGGGCAGGTCCTGTCAGGGGGAGCAGTTGACCGCCGAGACGTGTTGGGGGGTGGGACGCGCTGTGGCTCGCGGGGTTTAACCGTCCTTCCTCCTGTCAGGTTTGAAAACACGGAATAACGGTAACTCGGCGGGGTAGGCGAGAGCAGTCCAGCGGGCCGAGGGGCTCCCTCGGGAGTGTGGGGTGGAAGTGCAAGGAGAGGGGCATCTGGAATTGGGCCGGGAACGTCCTGCCCCTGCCAGAAAGCTCTCCAGGTTTCCCTTCCCTCTTTCCCTCTCTCCGGCCTTTACGCTCGGGTACCGCCAGCCAGATCAATGGCTTTCCAGGAAGTAACACTTCAGCAGCGCCGCTGATGGGCGCGCAAGCGGTTAGCTTTGGAGCACCTAAAGTAGAAATTAATGCGTACCTGGCAGCTACAGCAGAATCTTGATTGGCTGGTAATTTCACAACCGCAAGAAAAAGTTCGTCTGCTTTGTCCAGGAGAGTAGACTGGTTTCACTAGAAAGGGTATATAGGATTTCTGCATTATGCTTGCTATAGTACCGCTGGAGGAGCTAGGTAAAATAATGTCAGGTTAGCCACTGTACTCAGAAAATATTCCGAAAGAGGAAAAGGTTGAAATATGGCTGTAGAGAGGTAACTTTTTGCTGAAACGAACAGGGCTATGGTTTTCAAAAGTGTTCTTGTTTGGCAACACTTTTTAGTGGGTATAGGAGAAAAAGCCTCTGTCGTTGGACTTGTAAGCTCTTGCTATGAAGAATTAATGTGCAGCATTTTTTAAATTAGACCATCACAGTAACAGTAAAGCACCCGTACACTATGGTATCTGGTTCAACCTGGAGGCTTGCTTTGTCATCTTGTTTTCTCCCACTCTGAAGAAAAGTCCTGTAGTTGAGTCAGTATTGGTGCAGTTCTGCCCTGAATTCTGAGGTGACTGTCCCTCTTAGTTGCACAGAGCAGCATTCTAAAGACTGGACAGGAAGTGAAAAGCCACTCAAAAATTATGTGAAACCAGATTTTATTGTAGCCTTTGTGGGCCACTGCTTAAGACTCACAAAAGTTTTATGGGAGATGCTCCCATTCCTGTGAGCACTTAAGATCCACTTATATCTGCCACTGGCGTTTGCTACACAGTGATCTTGTGCTGTCACAAGGCAATATTCACTATGGGCTGCAAATTATTAACCTAATTACATGCAGTACATCCTAACTGATTATGAATTTTCCCCTTTACTCAGTACTGTAATCTTTTGGGTGGTGTCAGCATTTTATTTTAGAATAAGAAAGAATTCTATTTAAATAAGTAATAAGTCTATCATTAAATTGTGTGGTAGTAGAACAATGTGAATCTCACTTACTTCTACAAAGACAATTAAGCAAAAAAAAAAGGGCAAAGCAAAATTATAAATTAATAATGCCTTTGGATATGCGTAAAACTTATCTGTTAGATGCAAAGGCATCTAATATATGCACCTGATGTAAATTTCTTTGTGACTTGATGCTTTACAGCTTAAGATACCATTATTTGGCATTATTTGCAATTATGTTCAGAAAAACCCGTCAAGAACCTAAAAACTAAGCAACAACAACAAAAAGAATTATGTTTCAGTAAGAGTAAGGAGACGCTTCCACTGTGGAAACTGTAGCTGGCTGTGTAGTAATGGTAGTACTGCTGAACATAAACTTTCAGTTCATATAAGCCAAGTTAAAGGTTTTCTGTCAAAAGCAGTCCCCAAATAAAACTGAAATTGTAATTGTGAAAGGGAAGAACAATGGTGTTTTGAGACAATAAAAAAATGTAAAATACTATTATATTGACTCAAATGTCAGAGGTTGGAAATATTGACTCATAGTGATATACTGACTGAACTAATATGCTTTAGAAAAGAAAGATAAAATCCTTTACTGTTAAGTTAAAAGCCAATATCAGTGTTGCTTCGATTTGAACTTGTGCAGCAAAGGTGTTTATCTAGTGAGGTATCGTGCTCTTGTCTTTTTGATTGCTCAGTAAGCAGAAAAGATCTCACTGAAGTTCCTATTAGATACACAGTAGACGAAGACTTCTAGATATGGATATGCTTATATATAGCTAAAAGCATGGCTAGATATTTAAAACATATCTAATTAAATCAGAGGCAAAATTCATGTCAATTTGAACAGGTTTTGCTCTTATGTACTATGCATTATTTGGTAGTTGGAAGAATTCCATTTTATTAGAGCTGTTTTAAATTTATTCAGTTCTAAATATAGGTAATTCAGGAAATATATAAACCCTTTTCATGATTATATTTCTCATGCTTTATATTCTTTATAAAACAGGTGTGGGATGCTTACACATATTTGGATTCCTAAGCAAGTAGAAATCAATGGGAAGTAGTAAATTATAGAAATAAATCTTATTAGGCAGCTATAATTAAATGCCTAAATATTTTTAAATCAGTCTCCGTATCATTCAGTCTAGTTTTATTCTTGTTAGCTATTTTGTGTTTTCTTTCCAGAGGGGAAGAAAAGTCCCTTAAGTCCTGTGGGCATTCAGGGTTTACTTTAGCATCATGGTTTGTTGTTGACTAAAGAAAAATACATATTAGTAGAATAATTGAAATACTTTTTGAGATTAGGATTTGAGAGAATACTTTGGTTGCATGTAGTAGCATACTTGAAACAAGGTTGCTTTTTATGCCAGCACTGACAAAATTGTTGTTTGTATTTATACAAAATGAATCTGTGAGATTCCAGGTGTGCTGTTGTATTTTGTTCTGTATGGAAACCAGACTTATAGTACAGGAAGATACGTTTGTATTGGTATATTTTTTTCTTTTAAATTCAAAGTTGATAAGAACTTTATCAAGTATGTATTGAATTCAATACAAGTTTTTGTTTGAGTATTGCCATCCTAAATTACTTTTTTTGGCAACTTTATTAGAAAGAATTGATAAAATAATGTAAATCCCTTTTAAAACCAAACCTAGTATTTCAACATTCTTCAGTTAGTAAGACAGCTTTGTAGACACTGATACTTATTTTTCTGAAATTATGATAAGGAAGTTCCTTGGAGGCAGGTAGTATTACAAACACGTATATGTATATGCGTGTGTGCACACATTTTTAAATCATGAACCATTAACATTGCAACAAGAAGAAAAGACCATTTTCTTTTCAAACTTCACATATGATAGAGCTAAGCCCATACAGCTGTACATTTTGCTTCTATGCCATCTTTATATCAGGACATAAAATTGCATTGTAGGTAGTAGTTGCTTCTTTCCCAGTTGAGCATTCACAGTTTGTGTTACTATAGAGTATCTTCCAGCATTTGGATGACTCATTTAGTAAAACAGCTGAAGTGTATTTTTTTTAAAGGTCCGTCAGCGAATGTTGTACTACATGCAGTTGAGGCATGCTGTCTTTCCTGAGAAACTGAAAGAAGAATCTGTTCTACCAGCCAACTTCTAATTGTATAAAGAAAGAAGCAGATAAAGTGCAGTGAGAAAAATGTAACAATCCAAATCAAAGAAAATAATTTAAGCCTAGTGAAGAGGATGAGAAGAAAGGATTCTGCTGGCTTTATGTACTTGAATGCTAATGTTTTATATAAACCTGTATTTATGTACAGTATTCAAATGCTTCTTGAAAAAATGAGGAATGTCTCAGCATACAGAGAACTGAATGGGATGTGCCCTAAAAAGGATTAGGACAGTATGTCCAGATTGAAAACTGTTGGATATTGGCTAGAAAAACTGGGTAATTTTGACACGAGAGGAAAAAAATACCTCAAGGATAATGAAAGGAAAACTGTTGCTGCTTGTGTGGGTGGGACTTTTACTAAAAGAGGAGAGAAGGAAAAACTACTATGCTTGCATATTAACTTTTAAAAGGCCGAGTTCTTATTTCGGAAGAAAAGTATGCAGGTGTTTCTGTATTTTGAAAGATAAATTGTAACGGGGAAACTTGCACATTGTAGCCATTTCCCTTTTTGTGTCATTTTCTGCTCATGCCTTCAATGAGAAATTTGTATCTACAAGAATAGTGACCTACTGAAAAAAATCTTGACTACAAGACAGAGGTTTACTTTAGAAGCTTGAGCTGAAACAGGGATTTGTACTTGCTTCTTAAAATTGTTACCACATTTTAACCATGCTAATACCAGATTAACTCATTAGAATAATATTATGAAGAAGCATAAACTATGGATTCATTGTCTTTCATCATTGGTTAAGGTATGATAGCTAACAGTGTCTGTGTAGCAGGTCCTTTTGAAAGAATGAAGAGGAATGAACACAGGTATTTCAGGTGTTTCCAAACATAAAATGTGGCAGAATAATATGTTTCTGCCCAATTTCAAACATTTTAAGTATTTTTTTTATATTTTGTAAGCTAATAAATTTATATCTTTGCAAATAATTTTCAAAGAAATAGAATATATTAAACATTCTCTACTTAAACTGATATATGGACTGGTATATTACAGTTTCAGAGGTGAAAAACAGATTCAAGATGCTAGATGGCTAGCTCAAAATACTGAACGAGTACTTTACATTGTTAAGGTATAGTATTTGTGATGTTCTCATTCTAGTGCTGAGGATAGAATATTTTCAGAAAGGTGAATATTAGTAGATACAGTCTGTCTCTTTTCTGTTTGTTTTAATTCAGCACTGGATATGGAGATTGTTAACTTCTCTGATGTACAGCATTAAAATAGGAAGTCACAGTACAATCATGGCAATAGAGAGTATTGCTATCATCCTACATGTCTGCGCTGTATCTTACACAGATTTAATGATGTGTGAGATTTTATGAACAGGTAGGCTTATTTGTATGTTCTTTAAGTCTGGATTTATGTTTACATTGCCCATCATGGTACACATGGGCTTGCAAGTGCAA